GCGTCAGTTGTCAGTTGCCCCATCTGGCTCAGCAGGGGTCCAATGTTGCCTCTGCTTTTCCTCCGGCTCCCCACATATCTGAAAAAGGACTTCTTATTGTCCTTGATGCTCAAAGCTAGCTGGAGTTCAGTTGCAGCCTTGGCTTTCCTGGTCTGCTCCCTACAGGACCGGACCAGTGCAGAATAATCCTCCTTGGAGGTGACTCCCATCCTCCACCCTTTGTAGGCCTTTCTTTTTAGCCTCAGGAGATCTGCTAGGTCCCTGGAGAGCCAGGGGGGCTGCTGTGCCCTCTTGCTGCCTTTCCTCCGAGATGGAATAGACTTAGTTTGTGCATTGAGGATCGCTCCCTTGAGGAGCAACCACTCCTCTTGAACTCCCCTCTCCCTGTGGTCACGGTCCCTTAGGGCCTCACTGACAAGCCTCCTGAGCTTGTCAAAGTCGGCTTTCCTGAAGTCAAGAACTTCCGTGTTGCTGACTGATTTGCCAGCTTTTCGGCGGATGGTGAAGGTGATCAGCTCGTGGTCGCTGTCACCCAGCTTCCCATCGATCACTAGGTCGCCGACTAGGTCATCCCCAGTAGCCAGTACCAGGTCGAGCAGCGCTTTGCCTCTCGTTGGCCCATAGACTTCTTGAGTCAGGTAGAGGTCATCCACGCATGAGAGGAAGCTCTGCGACCGCTCAGATTTTGCTGAGCGATCCTCCCATGAGATGTCCGGGTAATTGAAGTCACCCATGACAACCATGGTCCTGGAGCAAGCTGCCTCAGCCAGTTCCTGGGCAAACTCCTGGTCAAGCTCAGGACTTTGGGTGGGAGGTCTGTAGTAGACTCCCACCATTGTGTCCCCTGTGCCGTGATAGTTCTTATGTTAACAGCTACTGTAGTTAGTTCCAGAGTCATTACTGTTAAATATATGTTTCTCACTCAGACTTATTCACAAAATCTAGCCTTCGTGAGCATCTCGACAGTACCTCTGGTACTTCCCGGTCATATCTGCGCCTCGGCTAATATGACCACAACTGAGTTACAGTTTTTTGCCAGAGTCTGCACAGTCATCAGGGCGGTGACATAGAAGAGAGCTATTACCAGGAATGACCAAGAGACTGTCAATTTGCAGAAAGAAGGATAGTTTAAATAGTGGCACACCAGACTATTAAAAAGGAGAAGGGGTCATTAATATCGGTGGAGTGAACATAAGAACATAAGGATTGCCATTTTCTGGGTCAGACCATAAGTCCACCTTGCCCAGTCTCCTGTGTCACACGGGGGCAGAAAGCGGATGCTGAAAGGGAGAGTGAGCAGGGTATGACCAGGGTTTTTTTCCCTAACCTTGTTTCTCTCTCATTTGCAGCCTCCAGCATTTAGGGTGCCCATACATGTGCACAGAGGCTGCTCCTACGCACTGTAATTACATTAATTGAGTCTGCTGGAACATGGTAATTGCCGTGCCGTAGCAGACTCCAGCGTCATGTGTATCAGCGTCCCTGTGCTGCAGAAAGGTGGCAAGGGCACTTTAACTAAAGCTTGTTCAACGGGCTTAATGTGCCCCCTCCACCATTTTTCAGTGTGGGGTCGCTGATACATGTGATGCTCTGAGCACTTTAATTAAAGCGGCTCTTGGAGCTGTGCCTTAGTAGAAATACCACCCCCTGCTCCCGGGAAGTTGGTTTTAAACTTTGGCTGGAGAAGGAATCAAAGTGGGGTGCAAGGGGGTGAAACTGCACCACTGCACCCCCCTGGACTCACCCCTGACTCAAGGCACTCCTTACTAGAGTCATGGACACCTCCTCCCCTCGGAAAACATCAGCTCTTAGCTTTCACATGATTTTTGATTATAGAGCAGTTGTGTTGCAAAAAGCTCAGGAAGACCGGAGCAGGGCAGAGTGCTTTTAAAACAATGGCTTCCTATTTGAAATCTCTGGGTTTATCTTGGAAATCATGTTGCACACCTAATAGTG